ATGAGGAGCATGTCGGGAGTTGTGGTCCGAAAGTCAGCCGGGAGATACCTGAGTCCTGACATAGCCATTACACTGTTGAACTGTTCTTCCTTCAAACCACAATGTTGCACTCACTCTGCGGCTCTCTGGGCCCATTTTATTTTATTATTAAGTTTTTTTTAATGTGCCGACACTTTGTGCCCTGTGTTATAAAACGTAGTGTAAAAAATAAATGTTTTTGCTCAATTACTGGAATTTCTTTGGTTAAGACTACAAAGTGAGGAATAATCGTTTACAAGTTATTTGTACAACAGGCCCATTTTAAATCCCACCAGTTTCTTAGCAGCCAATAGAAATGTGTTCTTTACTAACTTTACTTGGTTTAAAAATCTTACTAAAATAAACAGAGTGCCGTATTGCAAAACCCAGTCATACTTGTTATGTAAACATTAGCTTTGTAGATATTTGTGTGCAACAAAAACCAAACTTAAATAATTTGTCATTCTTTGTTGAAAAACAACAAAATACAGGTAAACAGAAAGTGTGGGAAAATGATAACGTGAAAGTATTGCTCTTTAAATGTAATCCTATTTATCTTTAAAAAGACAAACTAAAAATGTCCTGTACAGCAACATGACAGAAGAATGGTGGTCTGTCTGTCAGAATGTGCTGAACAGATTTGCTCTATCAAGAGGAGCCTTAATGTGTACGAGGTTCCCCTTGAGTAATATTGGTTTGGGTTATGTATCGCCACATCAGCATGTAAATGCTGAACCAATCTGGAATAAAGACTGCTGATAGAGGATAAACAAGTAAATAAGAGAAAAATTAATACAACTAGGAAACCAACATAAAAACAGCAACCAGCAGCTGCACCTGTGAAGAAACATTTCTAAGAGTCGTCAAGAAAACGTGGGATGAACAACTATAAACATGTAAACCATGAACCACAAACATCATGAACAACAAACATCAACAAGCATGTGTTTGTGCGTGTGCTGGGATGTGAAGTGTTAGACCTCCAAGGACCAGGTGCACTCTGGAACGGCCCCAAGCGCCAGAAAACCTTGCTACAGAGAACTCAGCTATGCCACATCCAGAACCGGGCTGACACAGGTCATGGGCCACAGGACACAGGAATCACACAGCATTTCCACCTGAAACAGAATCATTAAAATTAGAATCAAATACAACAGTTGTTCAGTATGACATCAAATGGATTTTTAAAGAAGATAATTGGACTTCTTTGGTTTCATGAATATAGGAGGATTGATCTTAAGCCTGAGTCATGCTTCTCCTGCGTCAGTGCGGAGACACGCAACTCCATTATCCGTCCTTGCGTAGGGCCCCAGCAGGCACGCACGTACGCACGGAGTCGAGCCCACTTTTTTAAACATCTGTTTAACGAGATGGACAGCGCAAGCTGATGGTTGGTCAGGATGCCGTTGTCGTTTCCATCCTGTTTTATGGTCTAGAACGGATCTTACTTTAGGTTTTCTTAGGTTTCTCTTTCATCTGGAAGTGAAAACGCTACATCAAATGCAAATGAATGAACGTTATCATGCAAGTACACCAAAATATTCAGCAATGTGCAGTTCAAAAGGTTTTGTTTTTATCTGGTGAACGTCAACCGGTCCACCAACGTAGAGGTGGGATGGGCCCAAAGATCTGCTCATTATTCTGTCTCCTCTGTTTAAATCTTAATAAATTAAGCTACTTTAAATGTCACAGAAACACCTTCAGGAAATCAAATCAAAGCTGCTCTCCTTGTTACCAGTTAAATGAGGTTTTAAAAGTGTATGTGTGACTGAAATAATTATGTCGATCAGCGATGACATGAAAGAAAAACTTTTTCAGATTTTGCCTGAAGGGCCTAAACTCTGTCATTAAAGAACCTCTGTGTGTGTGTGTGTGTGTGTGTGTGTGTGTGTGTGTGTGTGTGTGTGTGTGTGTGTGTGTGTGTGTGTGTGTGTGTGTGTGTGTGCGTGCTTGCGTGCGCGCGTGTGTGTGTTATCTCTAGCTGTGATGCTCTTTAAATGGACGTGGCTGGATGAGGGGAAACCACACGGACGGCGTAATGGCGTCTGTGAATTGACAGGCCCTTTACTGGCGGGCACCGGAGCCGCCCTTGTGGAAAATGTGATTACACTTCTCTGCGGGAGGGGCAGTTTGGGGACCTGGCTCGTCACTGAGAGTCACGCTTAGGTGCCGCCATTGCGCACTCAAAAACAAAGAGCCGAGGATAACTAGCAACAGACACAGAGAAACCTGAAGAACACCTCGCAAAAAAACTCTAAAAACATGAATGTTTGTATTCCCCGTGACTGGAGGAGTGAAACGATGCACAGCAATCATTTTATTTGTAGACGGAAATGACAGGAATCATGGGTTTAGAGGTGGCGAGCCCGTGAAGAGGTGTAGGAGAATGAGACAAATTTGTCTGTTAAAAAGTCTGTTATGTACAAAAAACACAATATCATCACACTATTTTGGACAAATACATGACAGGATACCACAGAACAGCTCACCACCCTCTGCTGTCCGGTCCAGGAATTGCTTTGCAACACTCCCCAGGAGACGGAGAAGTATGAGAGCTAAACGTCTCCGTGCGTGCGTGTCTGTCCCTGTTGGAGCTGACAGAGAAGCATGAATCAGGCTTTATTGTAGCTGTCTATTGTTGCTTGATAAGCAGAAACTGTCACCTTCAAAACACCTCCTCTGCACAGGTGTTTCTTTGTATTTAGGAACAGGAATAAAGTTATAGAGGTCAGCAGGTAAAAGATCAGCTTAAATTAATTTCACCATTAGAACAAAGGATGTTGTGTAGGCGTGACAAGGGCGTCAGTTTGTTTTCAGAATTGCTGAGGACAATAAAGGCAGGCTTTTTTGAAAGTGGGGGGGGACACAGCTGCCAATCACAAATTTTGCCGGGGACATGTCCCCGGTTAAAATGACGCCTATGAGGCGTGAGATCACCAAAGATGATAGGGTCTTTTAAATCTTACTTTCAGATAAGCTGATGACGTTCAGCAGCTGAAACTGGGGGTGAACTGGCAGGAACTCACAGAGACAGGGAGAAAATGAGTGCCATTACAGCCAAATGCTATTTGGCTGTAATGGCACAGCGTTAAACTGACCAGAGTCTGAGTCATTCTGGTGTTGAACACTGTGACCAGAATGAGCAGTATACTCAACTGCTTGCAGAGGAATGTCATCATGTGTTACATTTTGAGTAACAAAGACCTCGAGGTGACTCTTCACACATCATTATATTGCTCAGATCAACACCAACTTTTATGGCACTGTGTACACCTGCATCTACATCTGCAACCTTCTCAAAACTTACCTTGTCATTCCTACTTACCTGTTCTTCCCTTCTTGGAACAGGTTTTTTGACCTTAAAGGACGAGAAGATTGTAGGTACAGCTGTGTCCTTCAGGCAAACTCTCCCCTAAAATAAAAAAACATAATTACTCAATTTAAAAAAAAGAGATTCACATATACACACATCAGACAAGGTCAGCTTCTGAAGAACACACTGGTACACCAGAGCACTGTGTGCGTGTGTGAGTGAATGTGCTTGCGTGCGTGCATGCATGTGTGTGTGTGTGTATGTGCATGTGTGTGGTAGAGCTGAAACAACTAATCGATTTAATCGATTATAATCGATTATTAAAATAGTTACCAACTTTTTTAGTCATCGATTAGTTGTTTAATAATCATATTCTACCGCATAAAGTCTATTTTTACCACAATCTGACATCGGTTACAAGCTGTTAAATTTGCCGCCAGTGTGTGGCAGTAATGAGCCACTGATCTACCAGTGGAGCCGTAGAAGAAGAAATGAGCCAATGAGTGCCCTCGGTTTTCATGACGTATCACGTTACTGACGCTCATCTTGCTGTGAGAGATGGCGGAACATGAAATACGGAAGAAAAATAGAAGCGACAAAACTGAAGAGAAACCCCGGACAAAAACCTCACGAGTATGGGAGCACTTCACTCTAGATGTCTTGAAAAGACGGGTGACCTGCAAAATATGCAAAAACCATCTAGCATGGCACGGAAGCACGACGTCCCTAAGTGAACATTTGAGACGAAAACATGTGGGGGCTGATTCAGCAGAGGAAGAGCACCGCGGTCAAGTGAGCTGTCATTTGGAAGAGCCAGCCCGGTAAGTAACAGAAAATAAACAAGCTGGACTTAGTGTTTTAGCTGAGTTCGTTATACTGGATGTTAAACATGTTTTTTTTTTTTTTTTTTTGCCGCATCAGTCTGCGTTGTTCTACTTCTGATTGATTAAATGCAATCGTGAATCTCCTCCGTGTTGTGAATCATGCGCTTGCCAAATTTAGCACGTCTGTTTATAAGAATGTTCTCGTTAAGAGAAAAACGGCACAAACCCATAACTATGTTCCTCATTCAAAAAAGGACAACTCCGCGGTGCAAAATATACAGACGAGCTGTGTCCAGGTGAATATAACGCGTGACAGCTATACTTAAAACAAGCCAAATATTCTTAAATCTGGCAACATTTTCTTGTTTTGAGCAAAAAAATCTGCCAATGGGGTAAGCAAAAGTTGCTTGACTAGAATTCTTAAAACTAGCAAATTAACCTAACTGTCATATCCCTTTTAACTAGACAAAATTGTCTAAAATGTATGCTTAATTCAAGAAAATGTGACTTATTATAAGTAAAAGGCACTTTGATATTTAGAAAATCTGTACCTAAAATGAGTATTATGCTTTCTTGAACAAGCTGTTTTCAAGAATTATTTGCTTACTTTAAGATTCTACACCTTAATTTTAGATTTTGCACATAAAAAACCCACCTTACTATAGGACAAATTTTCTTAAAACTTAATTGTTTCTTTCTTGATTGAGCTAATTATAAGAATTATGTTTCGACTCTGAGAACAATAATCAGCCAAAATTCCTGAGAATAAGACACCATCTCTTCAAAAAGCTACTAAATATAAGGGAATTCGTCTTAAATTAACACAGCAAAAGCACTCTTAGTTTTTGCGCTTTGACACAGCAATGGGTCAGTAACTCACTGAGGTCTGTTCCAGGAGAATCATGTCTAAAATTATACATTTCAGCAGGGTACTGTGTAACATGGCCAATACAAGAAGTGCATATTCCAGATACTCTTAACATGAATAATAACAGTATAACACACTCTTGGCTGGTATCAAAAATAAATTAAGCTGAAGCTTAAAACAATCACTATTTCAAATCCTTCAGAAGAACAAGTTTAACGACCACACAAACAAACATGTGTTTTACATTTGAACAACTTTTCTAGAGAGAAAACAACCTCACTGACTAACACGGAGTCTGAAAAACAAGGCAGATAGAGTCTGTCATCTGAGAGACTCACTCAATGAATGACTTCCGCTCACCAAGAGTCTTCCTGTAAGAGGGGGTTGAATCTCGGTCATGGATGGAGTCTTTGAGTATTTCAGTTTGCAAGACAGACAGCAGTGTGGAAATGCACTTTGGATATGTGAGGTGGAGGGCATAGTAATATGCCATCAGATAGAGCAGTCCCTCATTAAGATCCTTCCGGTCAAAAGTGCTCACCGGTGTGGTTCCAACAGCTATCATGCAGTTGCCTTCAGAGACAAGCAGAACTGGACAAGCCAGGGGTCGCTGACGCAGGTAGTCTTCAGGGTCTTCTGAAGTCTACATGACAGAAAAAATGAGGATTAGAACAAGACTGTAAGAAATACAATTTTTGAGTTGCATTACAGTTTGAAATAGATCAACTTTTTTTGTAGGTTTTATTATCATCAACATCAGGGTTTCCCTTACATAGGCGTAGCCGTGGCGGCCCACCACGGCTGAAATCCCACCGCCACGCCTACAAGATCCCAAGTTTTTTTTTGTGCTGTTTCCCGAAGAAGCAGCAGGAACTACTATGTTGTCGCTTGTGATCACAGCCGGCAGGCAGCAAGGAGGAGCAGGCAGGGCAAGGTGAAGTTACAGCATAAGTTACTGAGTTTAAAATTAGAAAGGTAGCAGTGGATATAATGCCTTTTGGTTTACATGTTTCAGTAGCATTAAGATAAACGAGTGTTGATGATCTTGACAGGGTTTCCTCCAGTGCTTACTAGGCCAGGTTTTCCTCTCCCCACCAGGCTAATCATCACTTATTCAAGTAAAATTTATTTATTTTTCCATGTCTGACTTTAACAGCATCTAATCCTGTATTACGGCGTGAGCGCAACAGCGACAACTTAAGATCGATGTGTGAGCAGCCTGAGAGGTCGGGTGTTTCATCTGAACCCTTAAAACCTCCAGCAGGCTACGCTGCACTATTGACGTGTTAGCGCGCGGCGCTAACAACTTAGCGACGTGACATGTCTCGGAGAAAGCGTAAAAACACGTTGGACACTTCTTCTGAAGCGGGAAAATAACACCTCTTCTTAAGCAGAGCACGACGCCGCCTCGGCTCGTTCACGGCCGAGCCGGTACCGGACTGAGCTCGAGAACTGACCCAGCACAGCCACTGGGTCGTTGGAGCTGCCCCGTGACTGCCTGATGGAAAACCAGCGGGTTTCATCAGACTCGTAGTTTCTTCTTTTTGCTGGGGACCCCCTGTATTTTACCGCTCCCTCCTGCAAGTCTTCCCCTATTAAAATGATTCTGTAAATTCTGTGTATCAATAGAAAAAATCTCTGCCTCTGCCAGCTGCAGTAAATGTAGTCTCCAAATAATAAATAAGAGGAGCATTCATCTGTGGATCTCCATTGATCCGCATTAGTGATATTTTCAGCACCAGAACAATGAAGCAAAGAAAGATTCCTGAGTTTGTTAGTAATTTTATTTATTAGGTGCATCTGACCTGTTCTATTTTTCTCTGAAATGAGATCAAATCAGTGCTTCTATGGGTTGTCTCCAATCTGCACTAGAAAATTTTACTTTATTTAGAGACGTGTCATACCCCCCCTCCCCCGCCACAGCTGGAAAAATTCCTAAAGGAAACACTGAACATGTTATGGGGATCTGAACTTAAAGAATATTTGACTGACTCAACAGTAAAATATATAAAATGAAAACATGACTAACTGCAAAATTCAACAATATATACATTATTACATTCTCGACTCTAGTTAAGGGGAAAAATCAGGGAATGAAACGGGTTGTAAAATAATAATTTATCTTTCCTTGTGTTCAATTATAATTACAAGAATTTACAAACAAAACAAAAACCCAGCTGGGACCAGGAAGTTTTACACACAAAACAAACACAATATTTGGCATTTCTTTACCCACAAATTATCTTTAACTGGTACCAACAAAACAACTAAGATCCTAAAGCTAATAACAAAAATACCACCAAGTTTAAAACAGATCCTCTCCACAGTTTGGACCAGAAAAGTGCAGAGATTTACTCTCATTTAAAACAGCACTTTCTCAAGATGTTAGCAGACTAAACCATTTAACAGAGAAAAAGGGAGCGTGGAGTGGAGTCAACCCATGGGTAGGAGTTGCTCCTCGTGTAATGGTTCCAACGACGTTTTATCCTCCTCATGTGGCAACCGCAATCAGTCCCAATGCACCTCAGCTGCAGCTTCTGCTCCGGAGCTGTCCGTTGATGTTATTTGGGGCAAAGTTCACACAAGGCTGCTGGTCCTTGGCAGAGTCAAAGAGTCCTTGTCCCCAAAGGCTCAGAGGATCCATGTTGTGTGACATGAAAAGTAAAACACAACCATAAACTTCACACAACCTACCGGGGAACGTAACACCACCCCCCCTCACACAAGTTTGTTGTTATCCAACAAACTTTAGTAACATCCACCTTCCCTCGTCTTTCATTCACAGGCAGATATGCGAGACAGACAGTCTGCAATAACATTTTCAGAACCTCTCTTATGTCTGATATCCAAATGATATTCTTGCAACAGCAGAGCCCAACGCATTAACCTTTGGTTCTGGTTAAACATCCTTGACAGAAAAATCAATGGATTATGGTCGGTATAGACCGTTAAAGGTTCACCACCGACGCCTACACACACGTGAAAGTGTTGGAGGGCCATGAGCAGTGCCAGAGTTTCCTTCTCAATTGTAGAATACCGAGACTGGCAAGAAGTAAACTTTTTAGAAAAATACTCAACTGGGTGAACCACACCATCCTCATCATTCTGGAGCAATACTGCACCTGCACCTACCTGACTCGCATCAACTTCAACAGCAAATGGTTTAGCCAAATCAGGAGCCTTCAAAACAGGAGCACTTGTCAGAAGAAGTTTGCATGATGTAAATGCTGACTGGGCAGCTTCGCTCCATCTGAAAGGCACCTTTGGGCTCAATAGGTTAGTCAGAGGATGTACCACTGTAGCAAAGTTCTGACAAAAACAACGGTAATAACCCACTACTCCTAGGAACCGTCGTAGCTCCCTTCTGGTCTTAGGGACTGGGAAATCTGAGATGTTTCCCACTTTGTCCTTCAGCATTCGGACACAGCCATGTCCAACCTGCTTGCCTAGATATGACACAGTAGCCTTTACAAACTCACACTTTGCAAGATTTACTGTTAACCGCGCAGCCGCCAAACGTTTAAACAGCTCAGTTAAGGTGGCAATGTGCTCTTTCCATGATGATGTATGAACAACAATATCATCAAGATAGGCACTACAGTTTGTCAGGCCCGCAGTAACTTTATTTATCAGCCTTTGGAACGTCGTGGGTGCATTTCTCATGCCGAATGGCATAACTGTGTATTGAAGAAAGGCATCAGGGGTGACAAAAGCTGAAATTTCAGACGCTGCAGCCGTTAAGGGCACTTGCCAGTAACCTTTCAACAAGTCAATTTTTGTTATAAAATCAGACATCCCAACTCTGTCAATGCAGTCGTCAACGCGTGGTAATGGATATGAATCTGGAACTGTTATTGCATTCACTTTTCTGAAATCTGTTATAAATCGTGGTGAGCCATCAGGTTTTTTCTCAACCAAGCACGGAGAACTCCAGGGACCGTAGCTGGGTACAGCTAGACCATTTTGTAGCAAATAGTCTGTCTCCTGCTTCATCAAAGCACGTTTTTTGGGACTCGCTCTGTATGGATGTTGTTTAATTGGCTTATCACTGATCAAAACGACGTCGTGCTGGCACACGTTAGTAACAGTAGGGATATCTGAAAACAAACATAAATGAGCATTAATAAGACCGTAAACGTCATCCTTGTGATCACTCTGTAAATGTGATAGCTGCTCATCTAGCCTCAGCAAAGCCTCAGAATTTTTCAGTCGAGGACTCACGGCACTCAAGGTATTTGTCAGCAGATCTTCCTGTTTTTCAGTTTGTGTGATGAATCCAGCTGCGCATACTGGGACATCACTGGGCATCTCTTCATCTGTAGTGTGAGAAACATAAGATTTTAACAGATTACCGTGACAAACCTGAGTCGCTCTCCTACGGTTCGGTGTTTTGATGGCATACGTGTGTTCACTGACCTTGTGACTGACCTCAAACGGCCCCTGAAAACGTGCCGTTAACGAATCCCCTGCTGTAGGAGTTAACATTAGCACTTTGTCTCCTGGGATAAATTTGCGTGGTTTAGCGTTCTTGTCTAAAGTAATTTTCATTTTAGTTTGTGCCTCTCTCAAATGTTCACGTGCCACTTTATTCGCTGCCTGCAAACGACTTCTGAACATTTTCACATATTTATTCACGTTCATTTTCTTTGAACTCTGTGTTTCCAAAAAACTCTCCTTTAGTGCCTGCAGTGGCCCTCTAGGGGCGTGACCGAACACTAGTTGTGCAGGACTGTAACCTAGAGACTCTTGTGACGCTTCTCTAGCGGCAAATAACAGAAATGGTACACCCTCATCCCACTGACGAGCTGTACTATAACAGTACTTTTTAAGCATGGTCTTAAATGTTTGGTGCCGGCGCTCTAGTGCTCCTTGTGACTCCGGGTGGTAAGGAGAAGACGTTACATGTTGTATTCCCAATGTTTTAGCAACCTGTTTGAACAGTTCTGACTTAAAGTTAGAACCCTGGTCTGTTTGCAACACCCTGGGTAAGCCAAAGAGTGAGAAGAAGGTGGATAAAGCTTTAACAACTGACTTAGATGTGATGGAAGACAACGGTATCGCCTCAGGAAATCGAGTAGCACTGCACATGACTGTCAACAAATACCTTTTTCCTGTCTTTGTGCGGGGCAAAGGACCAACACAATCTACAATGATATGGTCAAACGGATTTCCTATCACAGGAATCGGAAACAAGGGGATAGGTTTAATGGGCTGGTTAGGTTTCCCTACCATCTGACAAACATGACACCCTTTACAGAAACACGCGATCTGTTTCTTCATTCCAGGCGAAAAGAAATGATCTAGGACCACCAGGTAAGTTTTCCTGATGCCTAGATGACCCGACCATCTGCTCTCATGTGCTAAGGCTATTATCTGGTGCCTAAAACACTGAGGTACCACAATCTGTTGCACAACACCCCATGGAGCCTTATTTTCTAAAGGATTTTTCCAACGCCTCATTAAGAGATCATCCTCCAAATAAAACTCAGAAGATTTCTCAGCCCCATCTTTCACAGCAGCAAAACACTTTTCTAAAGTTTTGTCATCCTTCTGCTCCGCCACTAAAGAAGAGCGAGGAATTCTTCTTTGATCCAACACATTTACTGAACCAAATGATACTCCTGTCTCAGGTTCCAAACATGTTGGCGCGTCATGTGACACTGGTTTGGGTTCTGGTTCCCCAAACAGCATAGAAATATCTAAGTCTTCAACATCCCCTTTTGTACAGGACCTTGTAACTACACAGGAAGGAGAAATACCTGGGGGGGATACCACACAAGGTAAATTCTTAGGCTTTTCAACCACTTGCGGTGTAGGGACAACAGCGCCACCTGCAATGTCGTTCCCCAACAGAATATGGACTCCTGAAATTGGCAGAGTTTTGCACACTGCCATTTTGAATCTTCCCGACACAAGGTCGCTTCTCAGATCTACTGAATGTAACGGACATGAGATCACTTCCGAAGTCAGACCTCTTAATAGCGCTGAGACATCAGTAAAACTGGTATCATCAAAAGGAAGCAAATTATCCAAAATGAGTGTCTGTGACGCTCCAGTGTCCCTCAGAATTTTAACTGGGACAGCGTCCAACTTACTCCCCCCCAAGGTTACGGAGCCCTCAAAAATAAATGGTTCAAAACTGTCGTACAGTTTTCTGTCCTTACGTTCCGTCGTGGTCCCCGAAACAAACGCCACTTCATTTTCAGATTTTTCTCTCCGTCGCTTCAGAATCAGACAATCCTTCACAATGTGACCCGGTTTGTGACAGAAGAAACACTTCACTGGATTTTTCCCATCTTTCACGTCAGATAATCGCGGTCTACCCTCACAGTGCCTTTCGGGTTTTGCCTTGTGTTCCAATTTCACCCGATGTGTAAGCACAAACTCGTCTGCTAAAACAGCAGCAGCAGTCAAGGCAGACACTTTCTGTTCATTTAGGTACAAAACAGTCTTCTCAGGAAGACACCGCTTGAACTCCTCAAGCAAAATGAGTTCTCTTAATTCAGCAAAGTTTGTTACCTTTGACGACATCACCCATTTATCAAATAATAGACTTTTGTCCCTAGAAAACTCCACAAACGTCTGCTCCCCATCCCTTTTTCTTAAAGATCTGAACTTTTGGCGACATGCTTCGGGAACCAATTCATAGGCATGCAACACAGCGTCTTTTACACAATCATAGTTTGCACAATCATGAACAGATAATGAGGCCATTACCTCTTGTGCTTTGCCACTTAACTTGCATTGCAGCAGGAGAGGCCAGACTTCCCGCGGCCAACTGAGTGCCGCAGCGATGCGCTCAAACGCGGCGAAGTAGCTGTCCACTTCGGCCTCACGGAACGGTGGCATCAGCATCATGCACTTCCCCACGTCCAGCTTCTCAGTCTCACCCGTCAAGCCTGTTGATGGGCTCCACGATCGGCGCGGCGCCTGGGCCTGCATCTCCAGCTCCAGTCGCTTAAGTTTTATTGACGTTTCAGCTTCAAGCTCCAGTTTCCGAAACTCGTATTCTCTGTCACGCTGTTTGTCCTCAGCCTCCTGTTTGAGACGAGCCAACCGCAGCTGCAGCCGGGCATGTTCAGGAGAACCAAATCTCGACTCAGGAAAAGACGGATCAGAGCCAGGGAGAGGCAACGGAGGTGATCGTCGACCCGCACCCCCTTCAGGAGACAGCTGCTCCACCGCCGCTCCAGCAGCCGCGCTGCCCGCGACCACACCGTCGTCCACAGCGTCCACACAGCCCGCACCCGGCTGCAAAGGCAAAACAGCAGAATCCGCCAACGGAGACAGTAGTCCATGCTCCTCCAACACAGAGGCAATCCTCTCCTTCAGGTCCATCTTCAGCATCAACTGAGCACCAGTGAGACAGAAGTGATCAGCTACCTCCAGAAGATCTCGCTTACGACACACGTCCAGCTGTCCGCGGGAAGGAGCCTGCAGAAAGGCATCCAAATCAAAACTAGACATGACAGAAACACACAAAAAAACTAATTATTAGTCACAACCCAGGGAAGAGCACAAAACGGAGAAAAATAACGAGAGAAAAAAAAGAGAGCGAGACTGTACCAACTCGCAACCGTCAGCAAAACACCAGCCAAAGCCACTGACTAACGAGCCCCCATTTTATTACGTTCTCGACTCTAGTTAAGGGGAAAAATCAGGGAATGAAACGGGTTGTAAAATAATAATTTATCTTTCCTTGTGTTCAATTATAATTACAAGAATTTACAAACAAAACAAAAACCCAGCTGGGACCAGGAAGTTTTACACACAAAACAAACACAATATTTGGCATTTCTTTACCCACAAATTATCTTTAACTGGTACCAACAAAACAACTAAGATCCTAAAGCTAATAACAAAAATACCACCAAGTTTAAAACAGATCCTCTCCACAGTTTGGACCAGAAAAGTGCAGAGATTTACTCTCATTTAAAACAGCACTTTCTCAAGATGTTAGCAGACTAAACCATTTAACAGAGAAAAAGGGAGCGTGGAGTGGAGTCAACCCATGGGTAGGAGTTGCTCCTCGTGTAATGGTTCCAACGACGTTTTATCCTCCTCATGTGGCAACCGCAATCAGTCCCAATCCACCTCAGCTGCAGCTTCTGCTCCGGAGCTGTCCGTTCATGTTATTTGGGGCAAAGTTCACACAAGGCTGCTGGTCCTTGGCAGAGTCAAAGAGTCCTTGTCCCCAAAGGCTCAGAGGATCCATGTTGTGTGACATGAAAAGTAAAACACAACCATAAACTTCACACAACCTACCGGGGAACGTAACATACATATAGACTATTGCAGTCTTACCTTTAGGACATGGAAAAAAGCCTCACTACAGATGCCCAGCTTCTTAGGTGGTACTGTGCTGGAAGGGAAAAGCATGGGAAGGGCTCTGAACACAGCTGCTGCATGTTCCACTGGTTTGAAAAAAGAAAAATAAGACAGGGCAACACCATTAAGCATAGCAAATAATGCAATCTGCAAAGCATAAATGTAGACACAAGATACTGTAGCAATACCTCCACCCAAAGTTTTTGGCGGCTTCATAACTTTCTTCATGACACCATAAAACTGCACCTTCGAGTAGAAGATGTCCCATCTATCCTTCATCTCAGAAATGTATTTCAAGTTGGATGGTTGAATAATTCTCCGCAGCTCATCAAGGACCTGAAAAATGAAAAATACAGACAGAAACCCAACTGAGATAGATCTGTCTAGCTCTGTATCTGGTCTTGACAATAAGTAATAACAATTTAAACATAAGAGCCAAATAAGAAATTTGAAAATCATATCGAAATGTCCCCAAAGGAATAAAAGGATGGCTAAAAGAAATAAGTGCTGCTTACATGATCCAGTTCTCTGAAACAAGGATATGCCTCTAATATCTTCACTGCTCTGTCCTGCTCCTTTATAGCATCAGAGTTAATGAACTGTCTCCTAGACTCAAACTCCAGGTTCAGCAGTTGGGTAACAGCAGCTTTGTTCGGTTTTTTGGTCTTGTATATTTCTTGAAGTGACTTGTAGTGTCTTGCCTGGGTTTTTAGGCTGTCAAAGAAGTCAGCTGAACCAGCTAAACACACAGAGCAGAGGTGTGTAAACCATTTATTGCCACAGTAAGGCTTTATATATCTGTTATTGGTGCAAAACAATAAAACAAAAATACCAAAATGTATCTGTAAATTAGATCAACAAATTACTAACCACCTATCTTAAAATTGTTCATTCATCCTGTCAAGTTGTCACTATTAAATGGAACGCTAAGATTCCAAGATAAACAGTGAAGTAGTTGTGTTCCATTGTTAGCAAAATTTTTAAGGAAAAAAAAAAGCATCATCCAAACCACATTTACACTCAGGGTGTAATAAGAGGGTGCATTATATTATACATACATTCTTCATCACTGCCATCCTGGTGGAGCACTGGGGTGCCCATCGATCTAACTGGTGATTTATCTAGAATAATAGTTGATGCACTGGACTCCCCACTGCTGTCACTTTTTGCAACACTTTCATTCCCATCCTTTCTTGGCTTCTTCGCAGGTTTTTTGCCCTTCCTTGGACTTTTGACATTGGAGAGTCTCTTAATTAGCTTTTTAGCAACATGCTCCTAACAGGTACAAACGGTAAAAATTAAAAGATGATAAGATACATTGCTCATGATTAACATAGAGTGGTATTGAGCAAATGCTACTTACCCACTCACCACACGTTTCTTTAAGCATTGGGTAGTACTCCATTAATCGCTTTGCCATGGCATCAACCTCATGTTTGCTGGGGTATCTGGAGTCCTCAGCTGCTCTTGCTATGGAAATCATGTTTGTCTTGGTGTTTCTTACGAGTCGACACAAGAGTTCCTTTGACAAAGGTTCAGCAAACTCTGTCCCCAGCCGCTTCTTTTCGAAGTAGGAACGTCGAGCTTGCTCAAGTTCACTGTCTGTGAAGACTATGTACTCTGAATTGGACATAGTCACAAACTTAGAAGTGCTGGGTTCCTCTCTGGAGAAGACACCATCTCCAGTAGTTGTTAGCGTTTTTTCAGCAGCAGTCTTGTTCTAAAATACAGTGTACATAGGGCTAATTTCACATAAAATTGCACAAGAACTTTAGGTCTCTAAACAAGAAAGAAAGTACAACTAAATATCAGTAAAGTGTTGAACAATATGTGTAGGCCACTTGATTTAAACCAAAACTATAGAAGATTCTACTGTCTATCTGTTAAGTGAGTATTGGTGGAATTACTTGAAACTGCATAAAACAAGCTGGTGTGTTCACAGTTTTGTCACACAGCGATAGGACAGAACTTACTTCTTCACATTTGTGCACTGCAAGCCATAGAGCCCGACGCCTGAGGAAATTTTCAGGTCCAGGAAACAGATCTTTGATGTCATCTCGTGAAAGTGATGTAAAGAAAATTTGGCTGGCTCAGCCATATTGTAAGGAGAAACTGTCTTTACTCAGTTATATTGTAGCGTTGTGGTTTTATGCTCTTTTATGAAAGAGGAACCATGCTACGTATTAATTCGGAATATTAATTTTTAATATATCAATAACCAAATTTTATATTGTTAAGAAGACTCAAAGGTTGTTTTCATCGATAAACTGACGATAATATCTGTGTGTCTGTGTTTCAGTTCAATGAGGAAACCAGTTTGACAATTAAAAGTTTTAATTCTTCAAATTAAACTAATGATTTTGAAATTGACAAACAGGAAATAACAATCAACATTGGCAACTTTGTGGGACAATCTTTAACAGTTGATATGCTGTTCTTGTTCAAATAGACCTTCTGTTGGTGAATGAAGATTGAGAGTGATAGGATGTGGTTATGGATGCGTGTGTGTGCAAAGTGTCGTGAGAATTGAACATGAGGTGAGATGAATGCGTGTGTGCATCTGATTTTGCTTCAGGAAGAACAGGTGTCTGAGTGAAGTGATGGTTTGGATAAACTTAGGTCTGTTGGTCTTTCTTCTGTTAGACCAAGCACAAGTACGGAGAAGATGGAGTTAAAACACCTTTGAGTTGGTAGAATGTGAAGTCAAATGATCAGAGAAGTCCATTCACTGTTTCACCGCTCGAGAGGGGAGAGAGCTTTGCAACTTCCAGCAGATCCCGCGATCTGCTCCTGACAGTTGCTTCAGACACTCTCCTCGTTCTGTTGAAACGGCTGATTTTTATTGAAAAGTACAGGAATGCAACATACGCAGTTTGCCATGTACATACGTCATTGGTCATGACAGGTGAAAATAACAGCCTTGTTAGTGGACAGTTAATACGTCACGAGAACATGCATCCTTGAGATTACTAGGAACATCCTGATACATCCTTGACAGGAAGATACATTCACGGTGTGGAGAGGCACTGAGTAGAGATGGAATGTGCTCACTCCTTTCTCTGGTGCAGGAGAAGATATACAGCTATTAATCCTTGTGTAGAGGCCTTGAGTATCTGAGCAAGTTTCCATTGCATAGAATAATAAAAGTAAACTTATAAGGTAAATAAATATATATTGCCTTGTTAGGCAGGAACTCACATGTCACAAGAACATGTAATTCTAAGATAAGCATAAGCATCCGTGGTAACCGGTACAAAGAGAGACTGCAATGTCTCACTCCCTTTTGGAGTTCCTGCAGCTGTTTAGCTCGTGCAGGAGAGAAACACAGAGAGGCCTTTGATATTATAACATGATTCCATAATGAAAAGAGTAGCATGTAACAATGAATAATAAAAGAGCTTATATGAGAGTTACATATATTTTCAGGTCTTATCAGAGAACTGCATCAAACGCTAAAACCCGTGCTCTGTCTCACCGAACTCTTGTGGACCCTCTTTCGGATCCGGGCCGTGGAGGATGTTGTGGTTCATCCAGATGACACCGGCGGCTGACAGGAGACGTAGGTGTCGAACGGAACCGGTCCAGAGTTGCCCTCGGTACACGTGGATGGTAGAGCGTTTTTTCGATGCGCTTTCTTAAGTTAATTCACTCAGAAATCAAAAGACTCGGTAATGAGTCTGCGTTAGAAGTCGCGATTCAGCTATTCTGCCTGGCTTGGCAGGAACAGCGTGAGAGGGGGGGGGGGGGGGGGGGGGGATTGAGCCAATGGGCTCCGTGCCCCCGTTAGCGGTTGTTCACACGTCCTCTCTCTTTCGTTGTCAAGCACGAACTGCACTCATACGACTGAAACTTACCAAAAGCCTTTCTCTTCTCAAAGCAAACGTGTGCGTCATCAAATGTGTTTTGGAGTTTACTGTGAGCAGATGTGTGTGGGTGTGTGTGCTTGAGTGTGTGTGAAGGTCAGCAACAAACACTCTCAAACATTAACTAATTAAGTATGGATTCATTAAATCTCTTATAATTACCCAAAGCATAAGAACCATTCATTTGATTAAACACATTTATAATGAGCGAAATGATAATGGTTACTTTAACATTAAAATCAAGAAACAAAGTTTTAAGACTTGTTATGTTATGACTACTTTTATGGGAACAACATCTTCTGGCACGAAGCTGCAGGTGGCAGATGTTATGGTTTCCTCCCAGACTCGCTAGCGTTCAGGTCTTAATCTGTGGGTGAAAGTTCTCAACGACCCAGCTTTGACCCAGCTGAGTCCAACACCACCTTTGTGACAGAAAACCCATATTTCCTCACGTTACAGATCCCCCCTTTTGTGACAACATGGTGGTCAAGCAGAGGCCACCTGACGTCACAACCTCAATAACGTGATGTACTCGTGAAGGTAGACATCCCAGATGAAGGCAGGAACGATGAAGCGTCTCCACAGGTCTCGTGTAGAAGGGAGTCTATCCTGATCAGATGATTAAGGCCAAAACTGTTGCAATCATTGTAAAGTAATCCACTTAGGAAAACTTGAAAGCAGAGCTATTTCAATAGCAGTTAATTTCATCAGCAGTAATGCAAAGGTATTCAAAGGATAAGCAGCTTGTGTGTCACACGGAGCTGGGCAGGAGATTTATTCCTCAGGCGTAATCCAAGTGAAGTCCAGCGCAGACCTCGACCCATCTCGAACCACGACCGAAGCCCCATGCGACAGGAAACCAGCTGAAGGATGGTGAAGACGACCCCTCTGATGGGATGTAGTCCATACGAGCTCGGAGAAGGAGACAAAGTGAGACAGCCCACACGAAAGATAGCACTTGATGCAAATCAAAGAAATCAATCAAAACCTATCTATGGGTGCCTCTGGGGAAATGTGGGTGCCTTTTGTGAATTATCTAAAGAAGAAATGTTCTGCACCCTGCTCTACATGTCATGTAAAAAACGTGATGCAGAGAAAACACAAATAAAAGAAAGTAAATCCTAACTGATATGTGTAACTCAGCAGGCTGCACCAATTAAAGGCATATATATAAAAGAAATAATCATGAAAATGAAGGGCAAATTGGCTTGTGGCCCTTTAAGGGAAATAGTAACAAAATAAAATAAAATTTGTAATCAAATATAATCATGCTACACAAAGCACTAATAAAAGATAGAGATGTAAATCAATTCTAAAAATGTAAATCAGTAGGTTAGTAATCCCTAAAAATGTGAGTTAGTAGCAGGTGTCCTGGCTGGAGGCAGGCAACCTGAAAAAAAATGCAAAGGATATCACATTTGTTAAAAATTCATCCCACAAACGAGAGAATTTGTAACGGTCCACCAGTTAGTGGGAAAGAATCCGGTCAGAATAGAGTCGGTCAGAATAGAGTTTTGAATCTGGTATTGCGGACCCACAGAGACACGAGTTTGGACGTATCTGTGGGAGCAGGCTCATAAGCGATTTGGTCATCAAACTGTTTGTATCTTGTGTTACGAACCCACAGGGAAACTTGTTTGAATTTACCTGAGGGTTCCGTTTGGAACTCGAGTGAAGCTGATGGTTTAGCTATTAGATCAGAACCTGATTTTACCTGCTCAAAGTTGGGTTGCAGCTTTACGGAGGCGACTTTGTTGTGATCAGAAATAGTAGTGAACTGGAAATGCGAAAATGATGCTCGCAAAGCAGGAGGAGGCTCCCCACCCCCCTTTTGTTTCTCAAACGTATGCCGTGTCTGTGAGACAGGAGAAGCATAACAAAGAACAGTTCTTAAGCTCTTAAAAGCCCTATTACCAAGAAGATGCACATTGTCACCTGGATCGTGCTGAAAGAGTAGGTGTTCAGATGTCCAAAGACCTGGAGGTGTTGGACTTGGAGGTTCTGAAAAGGAGTGATCCAAGGATGGTCGTGTCACGGGTGTCAAAGCAAACCTAGCCATGTTTAGAATCAGATACAGACATGACACTATCGAAAGGAACATGTTCTGCCCTGAAAACTGAAGCCAAGAATACTTTATTCCCAAGAATGATGGAGGTTCCCACACAGAATCAGAAAAACCCGGTTTAACCAGAGTAGTTACAGACTGACTAGAACTCCGCCCCGTAGAAGGTGCAGCACCTAACTCCGGGTCGGAGGTCAACGTTGTCAGCTGAATTGGTGGAAGGTCAGTGTCGAGTCCTGCAATGACCCGTCCGCTCGGAGGAGGCGTTCCCCCGAACAGCCTGAAGTCCGCAACGGAAAACTCAGTGCCACTCGGCACCCCCCCTTTTGCCAGGCGGGGCCCCGAGCAGAGCATCACTGCACCCACCTACACCTCCCGGGCCGGGTGGCCATCCCGTGCCCGTGAGAGAGGTGATCGCAGCAACCACCGAGGCTTCCTCAACATCGCCACTGACCACTGGACTGCTGGAAACCGCAGGTTTTCCTGCGCCGTCGTGGTCACCTGAAAGAGAAATCACAGGAAAGAGAACACAGAGGCCAGAGACA